AAGCATTTTTACTGTTCGATTACAAGGTTCCGTGTAAAGCATTTTTATATCTAAGCCGAATGAGCTAGCTGTGGTTTACTTCAACAAAGGATTTACTTTTACATTTAACCTCATTTTTTTAAAATCTATTTTCAACATACATGTATCTGAAATGAAACGATTTCCTTACGAAACAAAAGGGGATCCTCAATAGCCGCAGCATTTGAAATTCTTTTCGGCAGGGTTAGAGTAAAGTAATCTACGAGACCTTTTTTTTCCTTTTTATTAACTCTATTTTTGTGCACCAGCAATACCAAGCGTGGTGCGCGCGTATACCCGATTCGGTTATATTACTCATCAGGATCTCTACCAGCCTACCCTCAAACTGAAATTCTTTTAGGCAGGATTAGAGTAAATTAATCTGTGAGATCTCGAGGGTGATCAAATACATCAATCGAAAGAATTTGACCTCATGAGTCCAAAATTGTAATTAGATCTCAAATCGGTCAACAGATAATGGAACTATGAGCTAAATGTTTGTACATCGTACAAAAAACAAACAACAAACTCGGAGTCATTCTATGAGCCACTATGTCGCGGCTAAAAAGGACTATGATTAGTCGTTTTTTTTTTTGTTGTTTTTTTTGAAACAAGGTTTCAGTTTTCTCTACAAAGTATAAAAATGAGATGATTTCTTTAGTTGTTGTTATGCGCAAAGCTAAACAATAGGCTATTTTGGATCGTGCCCACTGCGGGTATTGAAACCCGATTGGTAACGTTATAAGCCCTCAGACTTACCGCTGAGTGGAAAGTGTTATAATATATAAGTAAACTCTGGTATCTGGGATTCAAATGAATAATTCCCTTTTAGTAATGCCATAAATATACAATAGTTTAGTTTAAATGACATTTTGGTTCTCGTTAGTTATACAAACAAGTAACACATCCTCACACCGGGTGTCACGCTTGTGTTTTCTTAATCAGAGTTATAAGAGAGCGACCTATAGTTTTCCATTGTAGATTTGCGGATAGTGAGCAGTTGTCAACTGTTTTTACATAATAATGTAATTCTTTGGTTTAATCGACAACGGAACTATGCAGTTGGTAAAGTTTTTGTTAACAGCAGCTCATAATGTTTGATAATTTTTACCATTAGTTTAGTAATACCTATAGTAATTACTTGTCAAAAGTCAGTTATTTAAAAAAATTCTCTTTCCTTCTTATTGCTAGATTAGCAGCAGTTACTGGTACTAATTGAATTTGTCACTTTTTCGTATATTCTGCACCATTTACATTTATAGTATTACTTAATTTACAATTACTTAACGAACCAGTTTTTATTAGTAATTCATTTATTGGGTTTAAGATAAACCATACAATATATTTAATG